CAGACACAGGAATGGTGATGCAATATTACATGGCAATTACAGTACGCCGTGAAGAATATGGATTTTGCAAAATCAGGCTGAGGAAAGAAACACAGCCCCCAAATTGTCGCACTTGGTAGGATTTGCTGTTAACATTTACAGAGGGTTTTCATTTATCTTTTTTAAACTGATACAGTGTAATTGTATACAGAGCATATCTATATCTTGTAGAACAGAACTAAGTGCTTTCCTGTTTCAGGTAATTCTCAATGGCAGTATATGTTACAGCTTTTTCTTTTTCCTGGTGCTGTTACTTTGTAGCTGACCCTCCTGCATACTTTTTTATTGCTATGTGCTATGTCTGGAACTTTTTAAAAGGTACCTGTCTTAACTGCATTTATAAAAATCAGTGGGCTGAATTATTGTTGGAAGACAATCTTAACGCAGCTCAGTTCAGTGTGCTCTGTGCACAGTGAAAGGAAGTTGGCTATTACTAAAAAATAAAAACTATGTGAACAATAAACAACAGGGGAAAAGAAGAGTTGTCCGTATTTCCATAGGAATTTTTTCTTTCTTTTATTAGATTGTGAGGCTTCTACCATCTTAATTTTTAAACCTGTGCCTCTGCTCTATCTCAGTTAGCTTTGCTGTGCCTGTGCTATAGCTGACTGCAGCAAGGCATGTTCAGTTTGGTATCTGAGAAGGTTAGTGTGGGACAGCTGCTGTTTTGAGTGCATACCATAGTTTGTCATGCTGTAGGTTCTGTGTGTGGGCATGTCAGGTGTCCTATATCAAGGAAGGCTCTGGCCATTGACTGACTGCTGATACTGGTACTGAGGGTACTGAGCTAGTGAAGAGGGACAAGAAAAGGCTTTTGTCACAGGGCTCCACTTCAAGTACAGTGTAGCAGTGTGCACTGTACAGCTTTGAGTAGAATTTCTGTACTACCATCTTCACACCTCTGTAGTAGATGGAATTTGGCAGCATCAGCAAGATAAGTTATTTACTTGTTTTTAAAAAGGAAGTGTATGGTAAAGTCCAGTTTTGAAGTGGCCTGTGATCTTTTTAATGCAAGTGTTTGGTTTTGATTTGTATTAAGAGAATGATTCTTTTTCTCTGTATTTTTGCCTCTGTAGTTCTCCTAGCTTTTACTTTTTGTCTTGCTTCATTTCCTTCCAAGCTTAAAAGGTGGAGGAGATAAACATCCTTTTTTGTATTGTAATAATTTGATGATGGTCTGAATTTGCAAATTAACCTGTTTATTTAATGTGAAGTGTAATTATATGATGTGAAAGCTGGGGTGTTCTGTGATTATATAGTACAGAGTGAGTGGTCCAAACTCAGGTTTTTGCTATTGATTAGACGTTTCTAGTTTTCATTCTAACATGAAATTTGGTGTTTTAGCAGTCACTTTTTTCTCCAAACTTTGTTCATCAGCTTGACTTTTTTTGCAAGAATGCAGTATCACAGCAGTATAGTCTCTATTATTCATACTAACTTGGATCTTGATACTCTAGAATATGGAAAATTCTGGTTGGCTAGAGTAAGGGTTATTGACTTTTTAAAATCGATGAAGTTTTTTGTTGCATGTAGAAATTAAGGCTATAGTCATGGTAGCAATTGCTTGCTGGTAGGATTTTTGTGTCATTGTGTATCTCCTATAGGTCATTGTTCCTTCTTAATTTTACATTATAAAGCTGTTGGAAAGAAAATCTTTGATAGCCAGAAAAAAAACACCTCCTAGGTTGATGTTTAGTATTCTGACATAGATAGACATGAGAAATACTTAATGATAGTGGTGGAGCAGAAGTTAAACTGCACTAGCCAAGGCTTAATTTTCTGTATTGGATTAGAAATAGGCCACTATAATTTGATGGGTGTAATAATACTGTTTGTGTTTTCATAGTGCTGTTTGTATCTGCTTCTGCCCCATAGCATGTGTTGATTTTGGAGAGGATCAGAGTTGCCCATTAGTAGTGACTCTATTGGTGATCTTCATGTGTACAAGAGAACATATGATAGCATCAGAAACATTGAGCGTTAAGGTTTGGTGGCTCACTGCATGAAGAGGATGACTGATTCCATGATTAAGTAAATCCACTGGGATTTCCTTCCCTGATGATTAGAAAGAGGGTTTGGTTAGGGAGTGTCTTGGTGCGTGGAAGAAAAAAAAGCTACCTGCTCTTTCAGGGAGGCTGGGTGTCTACAAGGTAGTAGAAATTGTTGTAATTTTGTGTAAGCAGGGATGTACATTTCTGTGTCCAGTGTTTTCAGATTTGCAGGAGCCAGTCATGCATTTGATATAACTGTGCCAGGCCTTTGTGATTTTACATCTCCCAAAAGTTGTGAGAGATAAATTGATAGACTCCAAAGTGGAAAAAACTTGGGCCCTAAAATGTCTCTAAAAGCACATGTAGTTGAAAAGCTGGCTTTTCTGTAGTACTGTGGATGTTGTCCTTTGCAGTTTAAGACTTCATAATTGTGCAGCCATGGTACAAAAATGTGGCATCCTAAGAATTTTTATTATAAAATTAACCTAATGCTACTTCTAAAATGGCAAGAAAGTTCCCTGCTTAAAATACACTGGTGCCCCTTTTTAATCAGAACAAAGTGTGCTTTTTAATTACCTTCATTCTCAAGATAATACTCATATGGGACTGCTGTATCAGGAACACTGGCATTTTCTTGGGCCTGAGATTATGTACTCTGTGGATACTTGGAGATGTGTACACACCCACCATTCTTGTTTCTAAATAAACACACACTTCTTTTTTTCTGTTGCATTCCTGAAACCTTCCTTCATCCACCAGAGAAATGTTGGTGAATTTTTAGTATTTTCCATTTATTTTTTGTAATATTTTACAGAAGTTACCAATATTGAATTGTGTAAATATCTGATTATATTCACTAACCTTTCCATATCTTCTTTTAAGTTCTTATTTACACCTGTTTAATGAGTATTTTCAACAGTTCGTTTAGCTTTTGACATTCTTTGGCTTATGTCACATCTTGAAAAAAGTAACCTCTCAGTTTCTTCACAACTTTGAATACTTTCGTGATACGTTCTTGTTAGAACCATTTCCCACAGTTCTCATTTCCAATCCTCTGTAACACGATATTGCTGTTTAAAAAAAGTTTCATTTTAAAATATGATTGTACAGTTGAAAAAATTGAAAGATTTTGTATTACTTGGTTGATGGCTGTAATGCATTAAGAATTTTGAATGGAAGTCTCTGAATTCACTGAGTTCTGAAATTTAGACAATTGCAATAAGGCATTTTTCTCTCCTTGAGTCACTCTTCAGATTATCTAATGATATTTTTTTACTCTTCCAGCCATTAAGATGACTGTACGGAAGCTTTGTGGGGTTTTTTCCAAGTTTAATATTTGGTTACCCTCTCAAAAGCAAATTAAAATGTTAAGCACAGGTCTAATCTATTTGATATGAGTGAATGTTTTAGAGAAGTGGATGGTGTTAACTTGAATTTGTCAAAGGTGCCCCATATTTTAGTGAAATGCAGGAGATGTGATTTCTAGAATGTTGTCTGAAGCTAACACCTACAAAAGATGAGAAGCTGGAAGGGTATCAGTCTGTTCCTAGATACTGTTGTTAATCCTGTGGCACGTGAGGTACATTGTCTTTCTGAACTTCTCTTGAAACCGCTTTTCTCAATGTCTGCACCTCAGGTGAGCTTTTTAAACAGCTAATTGATTGTGTCTTCCCATTCTCACTATAATTCTTGTACCTATCTGGGGTTTCCAAGGCTTTCTCTCTTCAGGCATTGTCCATCATAGCACAGCTAACCTTTCGGAGGGCTTCTGGCCTTGTTCTGGGGACAGCTGCTTTGTGGCAGGAGAGAAAGCCCAGGGTGTGCTGCAGGCGCTTCAGAACATGCTTTTATTTTCTCAGAAGGCATTTCTGTGCTGGTTGTCTCCAGCTTTTCTGTTTCGCTTGGAGGCTTCCTTGACTTAGCTGGTGGGTATGTTGTGTATTGCACATACAGGGCTGAAGCTGAAGCACAACTTGTATCCAGTTAGTATTTTTGGTAGTGTGTTTGGTTAATAGTAGTCGGGTGTCATTTGCATCTGTTGTAGTGCTGATACAAGCTTCTATAGTCTTCCTTGAACAGGAGTTGAATTTCAAATAGTAAGAAAGCATTTTTAAAGCTAATACTCAGATACTGTAGCCTTACTTTTTATGCAACTGAAACAATTAATTGTAGTGTGTTCTGTTGCCTCCTCTGAAACCTGTGCTTCCATGATTGTATCATCATGACATCTGTATTCAGTAATGCCTCAGACAGTTCTTGTCTGTCCATTGGTACTATTATGCTTGATTGAATAATCTTTGTACAAATGGAGAAAATTCCCATTGAATGGGTGCTTTATAAATACTCGGATGCTAATTTGAGCAGTATCTTTGAAATAGCAGGAACAGGAAGTTAATGTATTAGAAGGGTTTTGAATGGAATCTATAGCTTTTAAAAAGTTACTTAGGGAGAATGATCAGATCTGTCAACCTGTAAGTATCTGAAATACTATCTATAAGCGATATAAATGATAAGTATCCGAGAAGTTGCGACACGTGTAAAGCACATGCTGTTGTTGTTCCACATGATTCTGAGGTGACATGTGCTGATCTGCGAGCTGCGTACGGGGTGCGAGAGATGGAGGCGGTGCGGTGTGTCCGGGCCGGAACGCCGTCAGTCGGAAGGGCTCGGTTCCCCCAGTTCCTGGGCCGGCTGAGCCCTGGGCGGCGGGGCTGGGCCCGGGCCCTCCCGTCCGGTGCCGTGTCCGCCAAAAAAATTGGGGAACCATTTTGGGGCGCTGGGCCGGAGCGTCGATGTATCCGGTGGATGCGGAGTGTGCGCGGCCGTAAATGGGGGGGCGGGCCCGAAGCGGTAACAACAAGGGGGTCCCGGTGGGCAGCGCGGGGACGTTCGCGGGGGGCAGCGCCGGGAGCGGCCGCTGCCCCAGCCCATCCGTTCTGCGTGGAAACGCGATGAGCTCCTTCACTCCCCATGACGGGGAGATCTGCCTCCAGCTTTCTGTATTCGTGGAAGCGAGTCTTGTGTGCGTGCTTGCCGGGAAGTAGAACCAGCAAGGAGAAAGGTAGTGACTTTAAATTGCGTTATGCGCAGTACTTGAAGCTTTTCTGTAAGAGCTGTGCAAGTGCGTCCCTCGGGAGAGCTCAGTAGCGTGTGTATTTCATCCTTCCACAGAACCGTGTTAAGAATAGTTTCATCAGCGGGTCAGTGTATTCTAATGCCATCAAACACAGAATATTTCTTCATCTGGAACTAGAAAATCTTAATATGCGTTTTTCCATTTTCACTCTGTAGGTAAAACTTTTCCAATTTTTTACAGTGTTTTGAATAATTTTTGTTGTAGGAACTAATACTCTTGAAGATGACACCTGGTGTACAGTTTGTCACTGTTGCCTAGAGACCAAATTGGCAGTGTGTGGGAACAAACATAACATAACAAAAATACTGCATACAGTGTGGTTTTTTTAATCTGTAGTAAGCTTTTTGTAACTAAGATCTTTAAACTTTATTTCCAGTTCTGTAGTTGTTTTTACTCGGTTTGTATGTTTTTGATGGTTTGGCAGTATTACATTGTTAACACTTTTGTTTGTGATTAACTTGTAACTTTTCAGATGCTATAAAAAATTAGCTTCTCTGACTTCTCCATCATGATGTATTATTCATTTTTATGTTAACAGGGATGATGAAAATGTAGGCTTTGGGCAGGTTTGGGCTTGCTGGATTACATTTTATAGCTTTATCAAGTTTCTTCTTTGCATGCTGATCTTTACTGCTCATTTTCATTCTCTACTCATTTGGATGGTTCGTGGTTGTGGAAGATGGTGTGAAGGCAGGTCACAGAAATGGTGATAGAACAGGGCTGTACAGTTCTTTTCTTTAGTACTTCTGTAGCTTAGTCTAAGTGGGAAGTACCTCTGTGCATAAGGTCTTCTGCAAAGTTTGTAGGTTGCTTAATTTAACTGTTGAATGGGCTCTGAGAGGTGTAATTAAAGAAACCAGAGCTCACCCAGCTTGTCCAACTGCCTAGGGAACTGGTCTAGCACAGTGGTTTTCATCAGTGTTATCTGTGGGTTCCTGAGGATCCCTACATCAAGATGTATAGGTTCAGGTAAGATGAAGCACACACAAACTTTTCTGAAATGTGTTTACATTATTTGAAAGGAAACATTTTATAATTTTACATATTAATATGACTGCCTGCAGTTTCTAAGTTCTTTCCAAGCAAACAGTGTGGTCAGAATTTGTTCTGTGTACAGTTGTTTTCTGTGTTATCATTTGTTCTAGTGTAAAGCTGCAGTGTGCCATACTGAGCTTCCCACGTGTGAGTGTTGGGGAAAAATAGCAGCAGTACTTGGTTGTCACAGAGGCCTTACAGTTTGAACCCCCTTGCAACAAGCTGGTGTGGCCCCCATGCCCCAGAACACGTACTTGATTTGTCACAGATATCTTGAAATATTTAATCTAAGCTGGAGTGCCTTGCAGTAGGAAAATAAGGCTAAAAGATACAAACATTCCTGTCATTCTAGTGGAAGGTGTCTCTGCCCATTCGGGGGAGTTGGAACTCAATGATCTTTGAGGTCCCTTCCAATTCAAAAAATACTGTGATTCTGTCAAGGCCCAGCATTGAAAACCACTGCATGTTTGTTTTTTTCATATCTCTACAGTATCAGTTAAGGCCCAACATTGAAAACCACTGCATGTTTGTTTTTTTCACCAAAAATGGGAACTGGATATTTCTAGTCCAGCAAGCCTGAGATGAAGGAAGAGATGTTGGAGGGGTGAGATGAGGCTGTTAGTGGGCATGTGAGTCTCATAATATCAGTGTCTGAATACTGAGTCTTAGATGCCCATGTTTTTCTAGTTCTGGACTAGGGAGAGGTGCTTGTGTAAAAGAATTTTAAATTGCTCATCTGTGATTACTTTCTGAATGTCAAGGGCTAAGTTATTTTGTGTGTTGGAATTTCTTAGTTCTTGCTTCGTGCCCTGAGCAGCATGTCTCACAAAAGCATGCACAGTATGCTGCTGTGAGGTGTCTAGTCCAAGTATGAGTAAGTTTGTGGGTGAAATGATGCTAAATATGGGAAACTTGCCTATTGCCTAATAGTCCCATGTCACATAGCAAGGGGATTAAAAATGAGGTTTATTTTGGGAGATTTATACATACCTGACAGATACAGAGCTTGTGTACTTGCAGAGAAGCACTTAAGGTGGTTGAGAACGTTACTGTGTAAAGGAAGCCAATTTTGCATAGTATTTTACTTTCCTTAACCTCTGAAGGTATGGTTTATGTTTTTAATTTATTATTTTTTTTTTCTGATAGTACTAGTTACTGCTTTTTGCATAAGAAGGAGGAAAGTTAGGGGGTGCAGGACAAACTGTAGCATCCATAACACATTAGGAAATACGGTGCTTTTCAACAAATGCAGTAATGCTTGGTTGGTCAGTGTGAGAGCTGTTAACTTTTGCCTTTTGACAATTTTATTTTGAAGCTCCTTTGAAAATGAAGAAATAGCACATACAGAGGAAAACAAAATGTGTTCAGATACTCACTCTTTTCTCTCTTCTGTTACAGAAATGAGCCGTCAGACCGCTACAGCACTACCTACAGGTACTTCCAAGTGTACACCATCACAGAGAGTGCCTGCACTGACTGGCACTACAGCTTCCAATAATGACTTGGCTAGTCTCTTTGAGTGTCCTGTGTGTTTTGACTATGTGCTGCCACCAATTCTTCAGTGTCAGAGTGGCCATCTGGTTTGCAGCAACTGTCGCCCCAAACTTACGTGCTGTCCAACTTGCCGAGGCCCGCTGGGCTCCATTCGTAACCTGGCTATGGAGAAAGTTGCCAATTCCGTACTATTCCCATGTAAATATGCCTCTTCCGGATGCGAGATAACTTTGCCACACACAGAAAAAGCAGACCATGAGGAGCTGTGTGAGTTTAGGCCTTACTCCTGTCCATGTCCTGGTGCTTCATGTAAATGGCAAGGTTCTCTGGATGCTGTGATGCCACATCTGATGCATCAACACAAGTCAATTACAACACTTCAGGGAGAAGATATAGTGTTCCTTGCTACAGACATTAATCTTCCTGGTGCTGTTGACTGGGTTATGATGCAGTCTTGTTTTGGCTTTCATTTCATGTTAGTATTGGAGAAACAGGAAAAATATGATGGTCACCAGCAGTTCTTTGCAATTGTACAGCTGATAGGAACACGCAAGCAAGCAGAAAACTTTGCTTATCGACTTGAGTTAAATGGTCATAGGCGGCGATTGACTTGGGAAGCAACTCCTCGATCTATTCATGAGGGAATTGCAACAGCCATTATGAATAGTGACTGTCTAGTCTTTGACACCAGCATTGCACAGCTCTTTGCAGAAAATGGCAATTTAGGCATCAATGTAACTATATCCATGTGTTGAAATGGCAATCAAACCTCTTCAGGCCAGTGTTTAAAACCATTGCATTTAATTTAGCAGAAACTAGGGTAACCATCTCTGACTGTCAGACAAATTATTTGGTAGATGGAGGGTAGGCATATGAAGGTAAATAAAAGGAAAGGCTGTTAAATTACAGGAAGCAGTTGCATGTAGTAACACTAATATATTTAAAATAAGTCAACAGTAAACCACTGAAAATATATATACACCCAAAATGGGCATCTTTTGTATTAAGAATTGATTCTACAGGAAATGTTGTAAAATAATTCTAAAAACTTGTTTGTAGATTGATTGTACTGTTGAAAAGGATACTGTTTCGTGTTTTTGTTTGTGTTTTTTTCCTCCCCCCTTTGACTGACAAGCCATGTTGAGCGGTCTGATCTCTGGCCGCTGCTTCCCCTCCTCCCCCACTCCCCCCCCTTTGTAAGTCACTACATAGTATTGCTGCTGTTTGTGTATATTTTTTGTGTATTTGCTAATTTTTATTAACTTCTAGTTTTTCATTAAATAAATATGACTTTCTTTTCTGTAATTCAGGTTTTTCTCTTTTTTGAATCTTTTTAATTACACGTGTCATCTTTTGATATGCATAATTGCTATGGTAAAACTTCTGTTTCTGTATGTTTGGTACATTTTGTCTCTTTCCAGTAGGCAATTCATTTGTGATACTGTTCTTAATCGAGCTATTTTGTGAATGTATTGAACTCAAAAGAGTCCCTGTGTTTAAAGATGTAACAGGAAAGAAGGCTCCTTTAAAAACAGGTCTAGATGTTGTACTTTGAGTTATCTTCTAACAAAAATGAACAATGAATAAGAATTTTCCAATTTGAAAAAAATTTCACGTTTCAAATTTAGAGATGCTTAGAAACTTGATTGCATCCCTGTATTTGTTGTTTTGCAGTACAGAGAAGGTATTGTCTTACACAGTATTTGTAGAGACCTTTTGTTTGGTTTTTTTTGGTTTTTGTTTTGGTTTTTTAAAGACAGTCAGAATGAAATGTTTTCAGTCTTTTTATATTTGTGATTAAAAAGAATACCTGGCAAATTAAAAAAAACAACAAACAACTAAGAAACTTTTGCTTTTTACTTTAGCTTAAAGTTTGACAAAGTGATACTCTTTGCCCAGTTTCTTGTCTTCACAACTTTTGGTTGTTAAAGTAACTGTCTTAAACTGAATTTTGTGTATCAGTTTAGTGACATGATAGTCATTACAATGCAAATAATCTTTTACAGGTGTGATTCACCAGCCATAAAGGCTTTTGAAGGATATCTGGCTTTCTGCAGACTGCCTATATGTGGAAAAAAAGTTCATTCTGAATGTATATTATATTTGTGTTTCAAAAAATAGAAAAAAGAGTAAAGTGAAAAGCTAATCCATCTCAAGCTATTTTAAAGAAATCTTTGTCAAACGTAGCAGTAGATGATGCCTGTTTGGGGAGGTAGTCTGGCTACAGACCACTTTTGTAACACATTAAAATACAGTTCATTTACTGTGCACTGTCTTAACTTTGTTATCAGAAGTTGATGTATTAAGACACTTCTTGTTCTTATTTTGATGCATGATGAGGTAAGTAGTTCTACAGGTAAGGAACGTGACATCCAAATCCATCAGGTTGGATTAGTAAAATACTAAAGAAATAGTTGGCTTCATGAAGTGAAAGTAAAAAGTTTCACTTAAAATTTTATATTTAGGCTGTTTGAACTGTGCACACATTTTGTTTAAAAGATGTACTGGTACCTTGTGACAGTAGATAAATGCTTTAAAAAATCCTGCAATCTTGCATTTTTTTCCTTATGAATATACAACTAATTGTTTGCAGTCTTCTCAATTCTGTAATTATTCTGACCTAATTAAGTGTGTCTACATCTACCTCAAAAGTCTTGTCTACCTTGTCTATATTACCACCAGGTCTTCTGGTGTATTGAGAGAAACCTGGCTAAATACTTAACTATTTTTAGAGGCATAACTGACTCACCATCTGACTCATGATTGGCTGGTTGGGACTGACATTTGCTTGCCGAGGTTATCTGATATTCAGCTCTCCAGTTTTGTTAAAAAAATCTAGCTAAGAATCTTTAAGAACCCTTATCACTTTGATACTTACCATGAGAAAGCAGCAGGGCTGTGTAAGCACACAAGTTGTGCAAGACTGTTCTCTACTGCTGCTCATACTCAGAATGCTTCAGCTTCTGTCTCCAAAAGAAACGTGCATTTTAAAACCTAGTTGCAATGATCTGTAGAGTTTTTATTTAGGATAGAATGGGCTGAAGATGAAGAATGTACTTTCAAAGGGGACTTTGAAATTGCATTTGTAATGAGCTTTAGAAGCTAAGTGGTATGGTCCGACAGTTTTTTTCATGTTTTCAGATGACAAATGCTATAACATAACTGATGTATGCTGACTTCCTGTGATGTAAACTAATATTACTCCTTTTGGTGTTATAAAGAAAACCTGAATAAAACATTTGATGTCCATCATCACATGGAAAGATTAAACAAATTATACTTATGCCCAGATCCTCAAAAGTATTAGAAGCCTGAGTCGGTGGATCACGTAAAGTGTGAGGATCTGGTAAGTCAACTACACTGTTATATATGAACAAAGAGAACATACTAGAAATGTGTACAGTTTACTACCTTATCTAAAATAAATGGTGTATTAAAGCCTGGCATTGTCTTAGTATCAGCTGTTTATTTTAGAAAGTACTGTTTTACTTTCCTGTATTGGGAAAGAGAATTCAGATTTGTTTTTAATAGATGAAATGCAGTAAGTAGATCTTGCATTTGTCCACTAGCACTACCCTCATAGTTTTTCATTGCCATAGAAAAAAAAAAAAGCCTTAAAAGAAAATATTTGACAAATGTAGATGTTAATATATGGATTCTGTTTTGACATTTCTTGCCAGCTCTTTTTTGCAGTAGTGCTTTAAAATGAAAGCAGGTGAACTGTTCTGTGTTGCTGCCTATAATGGCATATTATGCAGTATCTTTTCAAAGCTACTATGACTAAAGCAGGAATTGCACTAGAGGGACAGTTAATATCTGTAGCAATTTATAGTGTGGATAGACCTTTGATAAGCTTCACTAGCTTATGGTGAATTCTGAGGGACACAGGTTTGATATCAAGTCCACCTAACTGTCAGTATATTTAAATTAAATTCTTTACTGTTCTGGCTTGCTGCTGCAGAGGTTGTTACTCTGATTGAGAGTGTCCAGTGAAAGCAAAAGAAAGGGCACGTAAGTGTGTCTGTAGTATCTGACATGGGTTGCACTTGAGTTTTTAAAAAATAAAACTCAAGAAATTAATGTAACCAAGTCCGTTCTGCAAGCAGGAACATGAAAAGCCATAAGTAAATGTCAGTTAATATCTCCAGAGTGGCCTGCCCTTGGTGGTCCTGCTCTGGCAGGGGGACTGGACTAGATGATCTCTAGAGGTCCCTTCCAACTCCTAAGATTCTGTGATTCTATGAATAAAATCCTTACCTTTCAGATAAAGTCCATGTAGGTGGGACTTAGGAATTGGAGTGTTGTGGCAGACAGAAAATTGCTGCTTAATTTTTCTTGGGAGCAACTCCCTGTTTTTCCATAGTGAAACTGCTGTGGAAACCTTACTTTTACAGCAGTTACTATCTTTTAAAAAAATGCATGTTTTTTCTACATGTATAAACAGACTGTGCTGGAATTCCATGCAGGTCTGTTTTCTCACTAGTGCAAAGTAGTGCAGGATTATTATTTGATCTACATTGTTTGGAAAAGAATTTTTTTCCCCTACTGGTTTTGATTAAAGGCAAATCAGCACATCAGTTACATACCTTTCTGCTGGTTTACTGACTATCTACTTTCTTTGCACTTTTGTGTTCAGGTAAGGCAGAAGGTACTCCAAGACTCCTGTGTTTGTTGCCTCTTATCCTTGGAACTTAACTAGTGAATGGATAGAAGTAAAATTCTTAAAATAGTGACACAAAAAGGATTTTTATTGTTTATTAGGTGAAGTGCTTTGTGAAAGCTGTGCAATCTTTTGTAAATCAGGTGCAGAAAACAAACTATTACGCTTGATTTATAGGCTGCTTATATAATAGGCTTTTGTCACTGATACAATTTGCATTTCGTAAGCATACTTGAGTTTGTTTTAGAATTAGTAAGGAATAAGAGAATGTAACATACTGGGTTTTCTCTTGTGGCTGACCCCAGCATAAAACAAGGAAAACTCAAGGATCTTACAGAAGTTTAAATTTCTAACTTCAACTAACATTCAAGGGAAGGTAAGAGACAAAACTATTACCTGAGATGGGATACTGACAGACTTTCTTAAACCTTACATTGTTCACAGTATGCAGTACCTAAGGCAATTTAATGATCCAGTGTTTTTTTGGCATTGTTTAAATGGATTTAATTTTGATAGGCTAAACTCCAAACACAGGCATCCCAGAATCAAGTAGATTTGTATCAGGTAAGAATGAGGGACACATACTTTGTCCCTCCGAAGTGTTACCAGGCTTTTTCATAAAGGCTTCAAGTCTGCTCCACCTGGTGCTGGTAAACACAGTTGGGCAGACACACTGCAGCACTGTGTCCCTTCCCACACAGCAGATAGTGCTCAGAAATCATACCTGCACTGACCTCACCACAAGCTTGAACCCAGTGCTGAAAGGAATTGCTAACTTAATTCAGACCGTATGGTTTCAGTTTAAATCCCTTAAGCATTTTTATTTTGTTTTAAACCCTTATTTTTCCTGTGATGCTGCTGCCCCTTAGCATACTGAATGTTACTTCCTAAATAAGTAAACTCTTAGGCTAAATCAGTTTGCTTTTTGGTAACAACCCTGTCTCTACTAGCCTCTTGCTGTACAGCATTTGCTGCAATTTGTGTTCCTAATATACATTATACAATCACATTATTATTCTGTTTGTGGGTGTGTCCTTACTAAATAAACAATCAGCTGCTGGCATTTATATACATATATGCCAGATAAGCTAAGAAATTGTTTCTCAACACCTTCAGCTTTCTTACGCTTTTGAGTTCAAAATTCTTTTTGCATGATAGTAAAAAGCAGCAAATGCCCATAAAACATGTTTTCGGGTTGTTAACTGCTCTAAGTAGTATTTTCATTTTTATTGCATTTGCGCCCACATTTAAACAATCAAGTTTATCTCATACTTACACTTGATACGTATATAGCTGATAGTCCTGATCTCTATTAAATTTCATACAGAAGTAATCTCAGGCTGTCTGCTTAAAGTTTGCTAGTCAAACGCTCAACTCTGGGCTTAACTGCAAATCCTCCATCAAAAGCTGCATTAAGAACTTCATCTAGACAACTTGCCATGACAAAAGTCAAGTCTTGCCGTACATTCACTGCAATTTCTTCAAGATCTTTTTCATTTCTTCGAGGAATGATAATTCTCTTCAGTCCAGCCCGGTGTGCTGCCAGGACTTTGTCTTTAATTCCCCCAACCTAATAAGGAGAAGAAATATATATAAAACAATCCACAGCACTAATAAAGTGATTATTGTCACAAATCACATC